TACCAGGAGTAACGCGCAGTGAGCTATATTGCGCCAGCTTTTGTCCAGTACTGAATTAACTATTTACCTGTCAGCAAGTCAGACGACGCCGATCGACTAGCGCCTGCATGGTTACCACCGTCAGTAGTGTGCGAGAAGAAGGGTGCGGGAACCTACTATACATACATAGTTTAATATTTTAAATGAAATGGAATTTTTCAGTGGTGCGCCGAAGGCCGTAGTATGTAGCGCTGAAAGAGCGAGTCAGATATCATCAAGAGCTAATAAATACCTGTTTATTAGCTCTTGATATCATAGATGTAAGCTGGCCACAGAAATTGCTTGAGTGGAACATGACTAGGCCCCTAACTGACTGACCGATCGACCGACGTTCGACCGACCGATTAATTAAATAAATAAATAAATTTGCTGAAATGTAAATAAGTAAATAAATAAATAAATAGGTTAATAAATAAACAAATAAATAATTGTGTTAAAGCATGCAGCACACTTCACCATTTTCGTTGCTCGTACAGGCAATTTTCGTGGTCGCCACAAAAATGGCCGAGTGTGCGGGGCCCGGCAACGACCACTCACTACGGAAATTTAGTGGTGACCACGAGTTGCCGAGAATCAACCCGGTTTGATTTCTCACCACGAAAATTGCTTGTGGTGGCAACTTGTGGTGAAGTGTGCGCCAAGCCACCACGGCAATCGGCAACAAAATCACTCGCAGACCAATCAAAATTAGCGCTGCCGTCACATGATTTTAAAATGTTATACAGTAGAACCCCTTTATTATGGACTGAACATTAATAGACATGATGGAGAGGTGCTCAGCTTAAAACAGGGTGTCCATTAAGTGGGGTTCTACTGTAACTTGTTAGTGTTGAGTTTCAAATATTTTATACTGGTATTTATTTTGTTAACAAGTTTAATTATATATCAATAAAAACATTTAATATTTTAAGTTGTTTTAGAAGTTAGTAGGCCTAGATTGATTCATCTACCTACTATTAATAATTGTCTGGTATTTGGTAGCATGATAAGCTACCTGTGGCAAGGAATCGCAGTGAACAAAAATTGCCGTCCACAGCACACGTCACCACTCAGTGGTGACGTGTGCTGTGACGCGGCAAAGGCCACACAAATTGCCGACCACGAAAATTGCCTGTACGAGCAACCAAAATGGTGAAGTGTGCTGCCAGCGGAGCGATGAGCTGAGTTCGAGCGAGATGATGTAAGCGTATCATGATAACGCCACACTTCTTTTTTTACAATAGATTTGCAGAAAACAACCAATTAGTGAATGATTTTACTTCTACAATTGCCCCACCCCACCCTACTCCGTCGGCCGACGTGTGTAATGGATTACCGATGAATGTTACCTGCCAGTTATACATAATGACGCATGATTAACTCTCAAAGGACTGTATGCGTATAATAATACATGATGGGTATCTATTTCGCGGCGAAATCTCGTGCTAACAAGCGCAAATAGCAGGCACGACGCGACGAAATTGCACTCTAATCGAGTGAAAGATACTATGCTCGTAACGTTATGAAATTATAATCTTCGGCGCTAAACGTCCCGCATGAAATTCGCCCGGTTAACAACAAGAAACGCCGAGCAAGAAAGTAATTGCGTGGAATGGCGTTCGTAATTCAGCGCCATTATGGTCGTTGTAGACCAGCCATCCGCGTCCACCCATATCGCTCAGTCTCCATTGACGATCATCAAAATACCAATTTGCGAATGAAAGCCAAACTGAATTGCGAAGCGAAACTAATTACGTTAATGCCCCTTTTCATTAAACTGTCTCCGCGATTCTACACTCAATCACATTTTACGATCGCTAACTATTATTCGCGAGTGAGAGGCAATATATATATATATATAACGATATATATATATATATATATACCAAGAGCTAATAAACACCTATATATAGCTCTCATCGCATCGCAGGGATTAAAACAACGATATAAATGCACTGATTGCGACCAAGCGGCTGTGGCGAGCCGTGTGAAATGATTTACTACCCCGAATCATGTGCTTTGCATGTGAACGATTTATGAACAGCATTTATAACGGCAGATACTCACGCGACAGCTTAATCGTTGTTATATATTACGACAATTTGCATCGGGTTTCTATTAGTTATTAAATTGCGCACATACTATACATTGTAGGATCGCTGTACTTTAGTATCGCGCGCAAATAGTTCTCTGATAAAATGTTTTATTATAATAGGGACGATGTCAATTGTTTGCACTGTGCATGCAACATTTAGAGAAGAGCTCTTAAGAGGGAGCGCCGCTTTGAAGAGTTAAAGTACGGAGGCGTATACCTTATTGGAAAGCTAAACGTCGCCATCTACCTTTCTGCGTTTACACAGCTTTAACGAGAGTTTAAGCCAATGAAACCACATCAATATTTGCGCTGAACATTCGCCTTATTTTCTCCTAAAAATTCCTTGTTTTTGTATCATTATTCTTATTATAACAGCAATATGTTCAGATATGATGTGTGATATTGCCAATTTAATGCCGCAGTGCCGATTCAAAAATCATAGAATCGCGTAAGCAAGAGCGCAAGTAATACAGCGTAACGATATCCGTCATGTTTTACCCGTGTGAGGTTCATGCACCTATGTTTGCACGAGTAGACGCACTTTGAATTATCGATGGAGTGTAAATTCGTTACGGTCTTGCGCGTTGCACGTTAGAAGATATAATAACATAGTCCATCAGCGATCCTTCACGACGAGAATGGGTAGAAAAACAAAGCTAAGTCGCACATACAGCTAGATGATGTTTGATGAGATCATTCGCGGCGTGTGCATGCATGCTCTGTGTCGCGTTTGACGTCGTATCGTGAGCTGACCTTTAAGCAACAGCAGCGCATCTTAACTACTCAGTGTAATCGCCATGTCCTTATACCTAGCGCTAATGCAATGGGATATCTTGCTCACCGGCGTGGATAATTAGAAAATGCTCGCGTATGTGCGTGCTCAGTCCGCGCATCAGGCCAAGATAAATATACGATACGCGTTAGTATTCCATCAAGGGAATTGCATCTTACTCGGAATAAAGTTATTTCATGTTTCCTCGTTTTTCGCGGACGCCCTCGGCATAGGCTGGTCCTATCGTGCTTCAACTATATAGGCCCCCCTATATACGCACATGCGCGGGGAAATCAGCGCCTACGGGGGAAAGCAGTATTACTATGCAGAGGCAAGGCCGCCGTAAGACAACACCGTAATGGAATTAATGGAAGTAAGATGAATCAAATTAAGGACGCACGGTGGGTGAGTCGGAGAGTGCACTGTATTGATGCAGGGATCGTCTGCTGTTGCTGCCAGCACAACGGGTATAGCCTGACCAGTTCCATGTACGGCGCCGAATACCAGTCTTTATATGGAAAAATAACCGCCGTTGGGATTTGACGCAGCGCAAATTAGAACGTTTTCAAGAACGAGTTTTTACAAAACACTGCTTATTTGACAACCACCTTTTTAGGCGAGATAGAGCGCGCATTTGGTAATCCTTATTGCCATGTGAACGGAAAGGCGGTTCTTAAAAATACTCGCCAACTGGTTGCCAGTGTGACAGCAAAGAAACTCATATCGAAACGCATTTTGGAAGCCAATTACCGCACCCTGGTGACTGAAAAGATTCTCTGAGGAAATTCACGGTATAGAAGCAGCGTTTTCAAAGGCAGAGGTTTGAAATCCGTGTTTTTATTTTGAAGCACCGTGCGCCCATGCAGAACTCATAATAATGTATGCGCTGTTCGGTTGCGTACCATATATATATGACCATATATAGATATATAGATATATATATATATATATATATATATATATATATT